TTGCTATCGGTGGGAGAAGAAGCAGGCAATGGATTAGTCAGAGCAGCAGGTGGAAGAAGAGAAGTTGCAGGGTGTAGGGAATGGACCATTGGGCAGCGCCAGAGCGCACCAAAGCATCAAATAGCTGAAGATGAAAAGACCTTGATTGGAAAGTCACTATTTTCATAAACAGGGGTGGTGAGCTTGCAAATATTTTGGTTTTTTTCTTTTGAACAAGAAAATGTGCATTTTCAAACTAGGAGGAGGGGGAAAAACTTTTCTAAGGGCACCCTTCCCAAAAAATCCTTTAAGAAATAGCAGAAAAATCACAAAAATTGATAGCAGCTATAAAGAAATTGAAATTGGAAAAGAATTCACTTAATTTGTCTCAGTCATCAGTTCAGACAAAGACTGCAGCCAAGAATGTAACATCTAGAATCATTGAATAGTAGAATTAGAAGGGGCCACGAAGGCCTTTGGGTTCAACCAAATGGCTGTCCAGCTGCATCCTGAATTCCTCCAGTGTGGGAGAGCCCATGACCATCCCAGGTAATTGGATCCATTGTCATACTTCTCTAACAGTCAGGAAATTCTTCTGGTTTCCTGTAATTTGAGCCCATTATTCAGTGTCCTGTACTCTCGGATGATCGAGAAGAGATCCTGGCCTTCCTGTATTTGACAACATTTCAAGTACTTGAACACTATCCTATTTCCCCTCAATTAGCTATTCTCCAGGCTAAATATGCTCAATTCGTTCAATCTCTCCTCACAGGACTTTGTTTCCAGTCCCTGGATCATCTTTGTTGCTCTCCTCTGAACCTTTTCCAGCTTGTCTGCATCTTTCTTAAACTGTGGTACCCAGAACTTGACACAGTACTCCAGGTCAGGCCTAACCAGTGCTGAGTAAATGGGAACTAGTACTTCACATGATTTAGAAGTGATCCTTCCATTAATGCAGCCTAAAATAGCATTTGCCTTTTTTGCAGCTACATCATATTGTTGACTAGAATTCAGCTTTTGATCTACAATAATTCCAAGATGCTTCTCACTTGTTGAGCCAAGTATCTCCTAACTTGTAATTTTGTGCCATCTGCAACTTTAATTTGCTGCATATCCTCATCCAAATCATTAATAACATTTTGAAAAGCACTGGGCCCAGGGCTGAACCCTGTTGTACCCTTCTTATTACCTTTCCCCAGTTGGAGAAGGTGCTATTGATGAGCACTCTTTGAGCCAACTCTAGATCCACCTGATCATTGTTCCATCTAGTTCACTTTTACTTAGTTTGGCAAATCAGGATATCATGGGGAACTTCATCAGAAGCTTTGCTGAAGTCAAGTTGTATTATGTCCACAGTATTTTCACAATCCACCATGGAGGTTACCCAATCAAAAAATTAAATCAGATTAGTCTGACTGGATTTGTTCTTGACAAATCCATGTTGACTTTTAGTAATTAGTGTATAGCTTTCAAAATGTTTCCAGATTGACTGCTTTATAATCTGCTTCAGAATTTTCCCAGGGACAGATGTCAGACTGACTGGGCTTAGGTTCCCAGGTTCATCCTTTCCCCCTTCTTGAAGATGGCCCTTTTCTAATAATCCAGCACTTTTCCTATCCTCAATAATTTCTCAAAGATGATAGACAGTGGTTCTGAGAGTTCTTCTGACAGTTCCTTTATTACTCTAGGATGGAGTTCATCAGACCCTGGAGATCTGAAATCATTCTGACTACTTAGATGAACCTTAACCATTTGCCTATCAAGCTGCCATTCTGCTCCTTCAGCTTCTACTTCCTCTTCATCAGGAAGGTCATAGATCCTCTTTTGGGAGAGGACTGAGGCAAAGTAGGAATCGAGCAATTCTGCCTTTTCTTTGTCACCTGCTATCATTTGCCATTGACCCTGAGTAGCTGAACCAACATTTGTTTCTTGTTTATTTTACTATGGACATATCTGAAGTAAAAGATTATTTGCTACTTTTAGCATCCCTCACTAACTTCAGTTTATTTCTACTCATCCTTTGTAGCCTGGTCCTCCTTCCACTTCCTGAATACGTCCTTTTTGTTTTCAGATAATCTCTAAGCTTTTTGTGAAGTCACATGGGCTTTTTCTGTTGTCTTCTACCTTTTTTCCTTGTTGAAATGGTTTGTAATTGTGCCTTCAGAATTTCCTTAAAATAATCCCTCCCATCTTGGATTCTTTTTCTCATTAGAGTCACCCACTGTGGGAACCCGCTATGGGAGTAAATGCTACAGTCAGTTTATGACACTGATGACCTTTATGTTACTAATTTTAACTATCTAGATTACCCCCCCCCTTTTTTTTTCCTAAGGTGGCAAACTTTACTTAACAGCCACTGATTAAGTGTTGGGGAAAGTGATGTGGGTTCCCTTTCACTCTTCAGAATGTATTACATTGTTTTCCATCGATCCAGACCTGTGAAGTGCAGAGTGCACGCATGTCACAAAGAATTCACTGTGGTTTGAATATACCCAACTGTCTAGCAGCAACAACTGTGTAAAAAATGTGGTTGCTATTGTTTTTAATAGTGGTTTTTCTGGCGATAAAATCACATGTTGGAATTCATTGCTGGATAGTGTGATGCCTGCATCCTGAAAGCAAAACAGGACAAATATCTCTGATTTTGGTCTTTCTACCAACTGCTGTTTATAAACTGGTGGAGAGCAGTAGATTTGCTCTCATTTTCAGTGGGGATTTCTTTGATGTCTGCAACAGTAGGAAGAGAATATTTAAACAGTGCATTGCAAGTGCTCAGAGAAAGTTGTTCATGTTATTTTGCTGCAAAATGGTGAATAATTCATAGAGAGCTGTTTATATGTTTAATTTTCTCTCACCTCTCCTGGCAGGGGGATAGTCACAACATGTTCATTATTCAAAATGACTTGCCATGAATGGAGCCTGGGAATTGTGCATCAGCATTTCCCTCATAGGTGCCATCAATGCCAAATGCAAAATACAGCTTGCTGATTGCAAGGCACAACATGGGCGGGGGGGGGGGGAGTTGGGTTGCTGCACGTTTGTGGCTGTAGACAGGATTGCCCAAGCACATTAGTAGCATTCAGCTGTCCAACTGGGAGGTGTGATCTCTGGCTACACATAACAAGCCCTCTGAATGGTGGTCTCACCCTGCTACCACGGTAGTTTCAATGGTATCCCTCTGCCTGCAGCCATGTTTGACTGGGCTCTAAAACCAAAATGCAAGTTGATGCTAAGAGATTGTCAAGGAATGTGAGCAGGTTTTCATGTTGCCAATCCATATTAGTCCATGTAACCACTTTTTGCATTGGCAGTGGGTTGGACTAGATGTCCTTTGAGGTCATTTCCTACTCTGTGAAAGAGGATGGCAAGTGTGGTAGAGGCTCCAGAGGATCTCATCCTCTCTTGTCACATTATTTATAGATGTTTATTAGCACTGTACAAGACATCCGTTTGGAGCCCCTGCATGAGGTTCTAATTCCCTGGAATTAGTTCCAGAGTGATGTGGGAAGCATCAAAGAAAGCTCCTTATATTGTCAGATGATTGGGCCATCTCATCTAGTACTGTCAACACATGATGTAAGTAGAAGTAGCTGGAAGCAGACTGGAAGTAGCTCTTCAAAGTTCAGGAAGGATCCTTGCCGACCCCTTCCTGGAGTAGCCTCCCACATACACAGCAGGCGCTGCATCAGGGAGCTTTGGTCCTTCCCTCAGAAGCAGCCTCAGCAGCAGAGACAGCGCATGGGAAAAGGAGCAACACATTCCCAAGTGGACCAAGATGGGGAGTGGCTACATCCTGGCATCTAAGACAAATGCTTTTGCTTTTGATGCGGGTATTCAGTGGGACACATTAATATGGTTCCCAAAACAATATAGAGCAGAACCCTCCAAACTTTTTGTAGGACTTGTGAGAATTTGAGAAATGCCTGTAGGCACCATCACAAAACACATAATCGTGGCTTGCTGCTTGGGTGATCACCTTTCTTGTCTGTAGGCTGCATCTTAGCCAGCAAAGGCATTTGCTCTGTGTGTATTGGACACTGCAGTGCTTCTTTAGTCAGGGACTGTCTAATTCAGCTAACTGCTGATGGTACAATCCTTTTAATGCTGCTTTTAAATGTTTGTTTCTGGCAAGGTCCAGCAATTGCTTCCTTTTGGGAGGAGGTTATCACACAGCTACATTTGGTGCTAGAATAGGCTTTATTCCTTTAATGTACATGAGCTTTTAAAATCCTTTACCTGCTTCATGGAAGTTAACAGATGGAAGGGGAAAGATTCACAGTTCCCTTTTTAAAGCAAAAAGCTTGATGTTCCAAAAAAACAAAAAACAAAAAAAAGGAAGAAGAAGCACCCCTAATGCAGCAGACTGAGGACCTTACAACACTTTCAATATTTGAACAGGTAGCATATAGACAGCACCTTCAAATTGATACTTATTTGGATGTTTGGCCCACTTTTGTTGAGGACTATGCATAATTGCCAGAAAGCTGTATTTATTTATTCAGGATATTTGCATTTATATCCTGCCTCTTTTCTTGAAGGAACTGAAGGCTTCTTACATAATCCTCCTTCTCCTCTCAATCAGATCCTCACAAGAACCCCGTAAAGTAGTTTTTGCTGAGAGTAAGTGAGAGGCACAAAGTCACCCAGTGAGATTTCTGGTGAAGTAGAGACTAGACCCAGGTCTCCCAGGGCCCCATTCCTACATGCTAACCACTGCATTACACTGGCTGTCACTTCATATGCATGCATCGCGATGGATGGGTGTGTGTGTGTGTGTGTGTGTGTGTGTAGAAATCCATTTAGACGGATTTTAGAATCAGGGGGAATTAAAAAAAGGAGTCCATGAGTACCACGTTCTTTATTCACAAACACCACCTTGAGGACCCCCTGCGGTGTAGCTACCATCTGTGTTCTTCTAAAAACACCTCCTTCACCATAAACATGGACCAATGACTAAGGCAAATGCAACCTTACGATTTCACAAGAACACCACATGCATTCAACTTCTTTTTCCTCTGCAGGTTTAACTTCCGAGGCTACCGCTGGGTCAAAGCCATGATACATGCTATAAATGATATTAACAAAAGAGATGACATTCTGCCAAACATCACGCTTGGCTACCAGATCTATGACACGTGCTTTACCATGTCCAAGACTGTGGAGAATTCATTGGCTTTCCTGACTGGGCAGAACGAAACGACTCCTGTCTTCCGATGCAGCACTGGAGCTCCTTTAGCAGCAATCGTTGGAGCAGGTGGATCAACTCTGTCCATTGCTTCCTCAAGAATCCTTGGGCTTTACTATTTCCCGCAGGTATCAGAGAACTCATAAGCTTGCACTGTAAGGGAAAATGTAATAAGCCCCAAGTTCAAGTGAATGGGCTTCTACGGGAGGTTGTTGAAGCCCCATCAGTGAGGGTGTTCAAAGATAGGCTGGACATGCACATGGTGGGCATGTCGTGAATGAGCCGGCTGGAGCCAGGGTTCAAACTAGATGGCCCGGGAGACCCCTTCTGACTCGCTCTGTTTCTATGTTTCATGACTGGCTCCTGTTATTTATAAGGAAGGATCCTGCTCTAAACTAAGCGCAGACTCTTTGTTAAGTGAACACAAGGACACTTACCATACAGCAGTCAACTGAGCAGGCAAAGAGCCCAGGGGAGTTTTATTAGGCCTGTAGGAGTTTTCCAGAGTAAGGTCTGAGGCACAGCCAAGCCAAATACTTGGCATTACAATGGGGAAGAAGATCCTGTTGCTGAAAAATCCATCCTTCCTCACTTACTGCAAGAACTGCAGCTAAGCTCAGGAGGAACAGGGAATTGGGAAGGGATGAGAGCAGCCCCCCTGCTATTACAAACAGGCTGCTGCGTCTCTGCCTCCAGTACATCACTGGAGAGGGGGAAGCATTTTAAAAGGAAAATAATAGGCATCAGAGTCTTCACACCTGTTCTGCTGAGATTGGTAGGGGCTGACCACCTCTCTGCCACCCCTGCCTGTGTTTTGGGCTGGAGGGGAAGAAGAGGAAGCAGCACTAGATGTTTAATGCTCATAGCCAGCTGGAGATGCTTCCTCCTTCTTGCTGTCTCCATCAGCCTTTTTGGATGCTACTGTGGCCAAGCAGCTTGCTGGGCATGTTGGCTGCTCCCCCATCTCCTTGCTCCCACCATGACTAGCAAGCAATGGCAGGAAGAGGAGGAAGCCTTGATGCTCCCGCAATGTCCACTGGGATGACCACAGGACTACGGCGAGGAGCTGGGCAAGGGCCCGCAAGGTGCCTGACTGCTGCGGACTTTGGGAGTGACAGTGAACACAGCATGGTTCATGACATAGTGTGCCTTGTTGTGTCTTATAAAACAACCATTTTGGCCTGCCTTCCCCAAGGAATGAGCAATGCAGAACGGAGCCTGGATTCCAAACATTCAATGACTACTGCAAATGTGAGAGGCTATCTTAATCTAGTGGACTCCGTCCATGGTTGCTTCCCCATCACTGCTATTACTCAGCAGAAGTCCTTGATTATCCTAATTTGGCTTTCCTCTCAGGCTGGTACCACAGTCCCAGGGTGTATCTGCACCTTAGACCTAAACTATTTAACCGCAAAGCTTACTCATCTGAGAACTTGGGAACTGCCATGTTCTCAGTCTTTTTCTTTCTCTCTCTGGTGTGTGTGCAGTCAATAGACAAGAGTTTCTTTAACAAGCAACACTTGTCATTACCTTCATCAAAAAGCAGTTCCCAGGATGCTTTGGGAGAAGCCCCAAGAGTTAAGGTCTGCAAAGATACTATGTTCTTGCATTGCTGATATTCCCAGCTTCCCAGATGCTTTGGCCACAAGCCTTCTGATGGAGGCAAGATTGCTTCTTGAGAGACCCTGACAAAAACTGCTTCTGTTATCTCCTGTTCACAACCCTTCCTATCAAAGCCACATAGGAACAGGAGTGGCTCTATGTAGATATTTCCCACCTTTTCTGCCCCTTCTGACCCAATGGCTCCTGTATTATTGACCTCAAGCTAACAATAGTCTCTGTCCTTCTTGCCTTCTCTTTCTCTCCTGCTCTCTCCTTCTCAAAATCATTTCTAGGCTGCCTTTGAGGATGAAACACTCTTAATCTGACATCCAAGACAAAACTACATAATAAAAATCTATAAAATGCTATTATAGATACATTAAAAAGAACATAGAATCATATAATAGTAGGGCTGGAAGGGGCCAGAGGGTCCAACTCCTGCTCAGTGCAGGACACCAAGTCAAACCATCCCTCTCAGATGGCTGTCCAGTTCCATCTTGAATGCCTCTAGTGTGGGAGAGCCCACAACCTCCCTAGGCAACTGGTTCCATTGTCATACTGCTCTAACATTCAGGATTTTTTTCAATAATATGTTCATAAACAAAGCTTAACTTTTAGATTAAACAAAAATAATAACATTTACCTTTAAAAACCAATGTTCCAAACATTAGGTGAAGGGCCACTGGCCTTTCCTGAAGACCTGCAGATAAGGAGCCTGATGAATCTGCAGTGAAAGTCAATTCCAGAGAAGTGGGGCCACCACTGGGAAGGCCTTCTCATTTGTATTCACCAGCTTAATCATCCCTAGCAATGGACAAATGAGAAAGGCTTCCATTGATGACTTTGGAATGTGGGTGGGGTGGTAGGAGAGAAGATAGTCCTTCAAGTAGGGTGGGGCCAAATCGTGTACGGTTTTAGTGTTTAAAATTAGCAGAAGTATTCTGGCACCCAGAGCAGTCAGATCAGCATCAGTACCACATAGGCTAATCACCTGGACCCCAACAATATCCAGGCAGCTATTTTTCCTAGCTGCAGATAGTGGTAGCTGCAGTCTAGAACATTTGAAGGATGGGAAAGTCTGACATCTGGGAGAGCAACATTTGCCTCAGTCCTGTACTTTTGTGTTCATTTTTGTTTTAGGTTGGCTATGCCTCCTCTTCCTTACTTCTCAGTGATAAGTATCAGTTCCCTACCTACCTTCGCACCATCCCGAGTGATTTAGTACAATCCAAGGGCATGGCAGACTTAGTTCACCATTTTGGCTGGAGATGGATTGGAACAATAGCAGCAGATGATGATTATGGGAAATACGGTGTCAAAGCTTTCAAAGAAAAGGTAGAAAACACGTATACCTGCATTGCATTCTCAGAAACCATCCCCAAAATATATTCCAGGGATAAGCTCAAGAGCGTTGTTAAGGTTGTAAAGGAAACCAATGCCACGGTCATTGTGGTCTACTCATCTGATATTGACTTCCATCCTTTAGTGGAAGAACTTATGATTAGCAACGTCACTGGTAAAACCTGGATAGCAAGTGAGGCTTGGGTCACATCGGCCTTAATTGCAAAGCCGGAGTATTTCTCTCTCCTTGGTGGGGCAATTGGTTTTGGGATAAAAAGAGGTGAAATACCAGGCTTCAAAGAGTTTCTTCTGGACCTACACCCAAGCCGAGACCCTGACGATGACATGACAATTGAATTTTGGCAGTCTGCGTTCAACTGTACTTGGCCTAACAGCAACATCTCATACAATACAGACAACAGGAAAAATGTCACTGGCCATGAGAACATTATCAATTTTTCTTCTGAGGAACTCTGCACTGGAAATGAGAAACTTGAAGAACTCGATAATACGTACCTGGATGTTTCAGAACTGAGGATAACATATAACGTTTATAAAGCTGTGTATGCAGTTGCTTCTGGTCTTGACCAGTTACGCCTCTGTGAGCTAACAGAAACGAAAGGACCATTTATTCCAGGTGATACATGTGCCAGCATTGACGAGTTTGAACCCTGGCAGGTATGCACACATTTAGAAATAATTGCAAATAATAAACGATGTGGTATAGTGGTTATAGTATTGGACTAGGAACTTGAGAGATCTTGGGTCCAGTGCCCAATCTGTTTACCAATAGAGATGGTCAAGTATTGGCATCACTTGGGCATGTGGTCTTCCTTGTACTAGCCGCCACCGCGCCCTGTCAGTTGAAGTTTCTGGACCATCTTCAAGGGCATCCCCACAAAGAGCATGTTACAGTAGTCCAGTCAAGAGGTTACCACAGTGTGGGTAATTGTGGCTAGGCTCTGCCTGTCCAGGTAGGGCTATAGTTGATAAATCAATCACAGCTGAAAGAAGGCGCTCCTGGCCCCTGAGTCTATCTTAGACTCAAGAGGTAGTCTTGGGTCCAGGAGCACCCCCAGGCTGTGCACCCTGTTCTTCAGGGGGAGTGTGACCCTGTCCAGGACTGGCAAAACGCCCACCCTCTGGGCAGATGGACTATCCACCAGCAACACTGCAGTCTTATCTGGACTGAGCTTCAATTTATTGGCCTGCACCCAGTCCATTATTGAGTTCAGGCAGTGATTCAGAATAGACACGGCCTCACCTGGGTTAGAGGAAAAGGACATGGAAAGCTGGGTGTCATCAACACGCTGATGACACCTCAGCCCCCACCTCTGAATGACCTCTTCCAGTGGTTTCATGTATATGTTGAACAGAATGAGGGACTGTATAGAGCCCTGAGGAACCCCATAGCATAATGGCCAAGGGGCTGAGCAACTGCCCCGCCACCCATCTGGACACAGTTGGCCAGGTAGGAGCAGCACCAGTGTAGTACAGGACCCCCAGTTCCCAACCCAGCCAACTTGTCCAGAAGGACACCATGGTCAATGGCGTCAAAAGCCACTGAAAGGTCCAGGAATACCAACGGGCAAAGCCTATGATGCTAATAATCTCAACCTGCCTCAAATGAGAGCATGAGAGCAGCCCTGCTAGGTCAGAGCAAGGGTTCCTCTAGTCCAGCATTCCATTCAGAGAGTCAGATGCCCTCAAGATCCCTCAGGCAGGATACGGGCACCACACATTTCTCCTGCTCAACCTCCCCAGCAGCTCACACACACAGACCCACTGCATGGAATACCCAAGGCAGCTCATAGCCATCAGGAGCGAAACAGTGGATAGCCTCCCCCTCCTCCAAGAATTTGGCCAGTCCCCTTTTAAATTGGCAGCTCTTTCATGTGGCTGTGAATTCCAAAGTTGGACTATGCACTGTGTGAAGAAGTTCTCCCTTCAATCTGTCCTGGATCTCACACCAATAAGCTTCGTAGAATGATCCTGGCATCAAGTGTTATAAGAAAGGCAGAAAAATGCCTTGCTCCACACCATGCATAGTTCTGAAAACCTCTACCATGTCTCTCCACCCTACCTACCTACCTACCTTTTTTCAATTCCAGTTTTGTAAAAGTTCCTCAGGGGGGAGCTGCTCCATCCGCTGTTCATTTTAGCTGCTCTTCTCAGTGGTTTTTCTAACCTAATACTCCCTTTCCGGTGTGGTGCCCATTATTCCAGGAGCAGTGACACCCAAGATCTGGGTGTGAATTCCTTTCCAAACCTAAATCTACCTAGCCAAGCAGCTAAGCACTGGGTTGGCATTTTCACTGAGCTCTCAACCACAGCCCCAAGACTGATTTCTTGATCAGTCAAACCCCTTCAGCTTATATATTTCGTCTTGGAGATTGCTTTTAGCTGTCAATGTTCTGCTATTTATTTATTTATTTTGCTTCTAAGATGTGTATATATGGTCAGTAGTTTGGAGTTGGATAAGTGTGCACCTCCAGATCTCTGAAATCTTGTTTTGTCTGGTCAATGTAGTGATAATGGCCTGCTGTCCGAAGGTATGGGCATTGACAAAGCCAGTCTTCAGATAGGTTCGTTTGCTGCCAAATGAAAACAAACCTGTAAGATCTTTTCTTGCAGATGGGTGTGTGACTACATCACTCCCTTTTCAGTGCAATCCTCCAAATGTTTCATTTGAACCAGTCAGTTCTCAGTGTCCTTTTCCATCTTTTCCTGAACCACTTGGTGCTTGGCAGAGTGGAAAAGTACATCCCATTCAGTTTGCAGGAGCATTTACTTTTGACAGTGGTCAAACATAAAGGCGTCTTTTAAAACAGGGGTTTTGATAGGGCTAAACCGGTTTCGGTTTTGGATATGTACAGGTTTCATGGGGGACTGGCCGGGAAGCTGCACTGACTGAAAAAGGGAGAGAGTGAACCAGTGCCACTTGGGTACTCGGAGTGGCAGCCACTAGCAGTAGCCCAGGAAAGCTTGGCAGGAATGGCAAGGGCTTCTCCTGCTCTTGCTGAGTGTCCTACTTGCTTCTTCCCTGGGATCAGTGTGCTGGGTTTGGATGACATGCCAGCCCACTGCGGACCCAACAAGCCCTAGAACGAGCCATGCATTGTAAGGCTGGCTTGTTCCCACCTCAACAACCATCCTGCAAGATGTGTTCTGCATATGCCTGACACCACGACCCACTTGGCACCCAGGCTCTGTGTTGAAAAATAATAAGAAAAATCAGGAAGGTCAAGGAGGCTGGCAGGTACCAAGAGAGGAGGAAGGAAATCAGACCAAGTCAGTGTAGCCAGTCCAACAGTTGTTTCCTCTGTGTTCATGCTTGGCAAACTGTGTCAATCATGAACTGCACACTCTGATTGGCAGCGGCTATCCAGATTTCCCCACCCCCACCTTGATAACCCTGGTTGGGAAGGGGGTGCCCAAATATGGCATCCAGACAGGGCAATCATTTCTGACAAGCTGTCTCTTTGCCTGCCTGGATGCCAGTGCCTGTAGAGTACACATACATGGCTGTATGCTAGTATAAAAGATGGAGTCTTGCTTTCCACTGGTCAGCAGGCTCAGGACTCCAGTGGTAAGCAGAAAAAACTGTGGGAACTGGGACTTGGATGTAGAGACATGAGGGGAGCTGAATCTGAGATGGACTAACTGGCTGCCCACTGGTAACCTGCAGACCAATAAGAACATGTTCATCAGGTTCTAATCTTCACCCACTGGACCCAATACATTTGTATTAATATGTGTACTGGCTAAAAAATGTATGGCTTTTACCAGATCGCATCTATTTGCTTAAATCTGCAGCTCAAAGCTGAGACTGTTGCATTTTGATCCAATAGGGATGCATATAAAAACAAGTTTTTATATAAATCCAATGCTAGATTCACAGGGGAGACCCAGGGCAAATCCTGGCCTATTTTCTGATTGACCCTGGCTCTAGTCCCCTGCTGCTGCAAACACACACAGAGCCTTGCCCATGAAGTTCACTGGGTGAGTATGGTCCAGGCACTGACTCTTGCCAAATCTACCTCAGAGGCTTGTTGTTGTGAGGCTAAAACGGTCCGAGGAGTAGCAGTAGGGCTCTATTCGCCACCTTGGATTTCATGCAAGAGGTGAAAAGGGGGATATACATCCACCAATGCAATAATTAATAATCAGGAGATGTGTCTGATTAATACTGGAGATCGTTCTTTCCCCAAACTCAAACCTACAAAGAGGCAGAGGAATTTCCACGGCATGCCTGAAGTGCTACACAAGAGTGCATTGCCGGCCACGTAACTGCTCTTGTGTATGTGGGAGATTTGCAGGATTCTGTTTGAGGTCTTATGACAGCAATCTTCTGCGTGTTTAAAGCAGCACTGATTTGGGGGCTAGCTGTTATGGGAGAGCAGAGCAGCACAGCAGGGGTTTGGATTGTTGGTGTGGCTGCGGCTTCAATAGTCATGAGTCCGACACAAGAATTCTGACCTGATTGCACAGGTAGCCTGTACGTTCCCGAATGCAATTCAAGGTGTTGGTTTGGACCTATGGAGGCTTGGGACTGCAGTACATGATGGGATGTCTCTTCTGATATGAAATTGTTTGAATGCTGCAGCACTGAACTTGTACATCTGATCATCCAAAGATGGCAGCAAGGAAGATGTGCTTGGTGGTGGCTCCCAGCTGTGCAATATTCTTCCCAATGGGATTAGTGTGGTTGGCAACAGGCTAAGACTTGCCTCTACTCCAAAGCACTGACAATATATGATGGTGTGCTTTGGATTTTTTTAAAAAAATCAGGTTCAGGTAGTGTTAAAGGTTTTATACCATGTTTTATCCTGCTCTGAACTGTCAAGAAAGCTTGGCTATTGGGCAGTATAGAAAAGTAGCACATGAAATGAATGAGTGAACATGGTTTATTTGATGTATTCTTATCTTTGCTCCTGATTCCTAGTTAATGTTCTACATGAAGAATAGAATGCGTTTCACAGTGCTTGATGAGGATGTCCACATAAATGAGAAGGGTGATGTGTATACGCCATATGACATTATAAATTGGCAGAAGAATGAAACTGGTCATATTGCTTTTGTGCAAGTTGGAACATTTAACATGACTGATGATGACAATGGTGAATTCCATATTAATAATGACTCAATATTTTGGAACAATCCATCAGGAACAGTAAGTGAATTGTTTCTCAACACCTACCCCAACTTTAATGTCCTATGCAACATGAGAGGCAGCCAATATGTCCTTCAGGTGCTGGCTGAAGGGGGTGGGAAGGGGATTCAGCCTGGAGAATCCCATCTCTGAGATCACAGGTACCTAGTGGTTGGGGATTAAAAGGTTTGAGGCTGATGGAGCGCTTGTGATTGAACTTTTAAAACTGCACCCAATGAGCATTTAGAGCACACACACCTAAGTTCACAAAGGGAGCGAGGCAGGAAAAACAGCAGAAAAGGAATCCTGCAGAAAAATAGCAGGAAGGAAATCCTGCAGATCCTGCAGTTAATGGCCTTGTGCAGAAAGTGCTTAGTGGTTACTGCTCTGCACAATCTTGCTGGGGATCTCCTGCGCTCAGTCTTGCCACACCTGCCAAACTCTACATTCTTTTGAGGACACTTTCCAGCATTCCAGAGCATTGGCCATGATAGCTTAGGCTGTGGAGCAGCAAGTTGGAGAAGGCTGCCTTAGGTCACGGACTGAACTATAATTACATGGAACTCAGCCATTTGAACACATGGCAAAAACAGATGGGTTTTCAGCGTAGGAGAGATATAACGTCTGTGCTGTACCTTTCAGCGGCCACGCTCCGCATGTAATAATAACTGTCAACCTGGTTTTCGGAAGGGGATCCTGCAAGGGAAGCCCTCCTGCTGTTACGACTGTATAAGGTGTGCAGAAGGACAGTTTAGTGGCATTACAGGTAAGGACTCCTAGAGGCATTTGAGACAAGGCTGTGAGCGTCTGTGTGCATGTGGTTTGGTGGGGTGGGAGGAACAAGTGCAGATGTTCCATTGACTGTGTCTAGATGCCATTGATTTATTTATGTACAGGATACATAGACTGTATCTGACAAGATTGCTCAGCATTGGACAATACAAAGACAGACAGACAGACAGACATGTATGTTGGGGAAGTGTGAAAATACAGATTGGACAGATTTTAAATCAGGTTATGTTCTCAGGAAAGACTTGTTTGATTAAAAAGTGCCTTCAGCAGGACCAAAAACAAAACAAAAACAACCCATTACTTTGGTACCTGTCTGAGGCCAAGAAGCGGGGGCTTCCACAGAGAGGGAATCAGTGCACTGCAGGTTTTACTCATGAGTGGACTCCAAATGGATGGTGGGTCCTTACGGAGCCACCAGGAGTTCCTCATCAGATGCCCTTGGTGACAGGCAGGTCAAGGAGAGGGAGTTGTCTCTAACAGACAGATCCCATATTGTTTAGAGTTTCATAAAAAGTATTTAAAATGACCCAGTAGCGAATAGGCAAGCAGGGTATTTCCCTCAGCAGAAGAGCTACAGACTGGAAAGGGTCAGCTTCCAACAATGCATTTTGCATTTGTTGAAGCTTCCAGGTCAGCCTTAAGAGAAGCTTCTCTTTTGCAATAATCTGGTGCCTGCACCACTGTGGCCAAGCCATCCCTGTCCAGGAAAGGCTATAGCTGGTGTACTTAACTGAAGGTTAAGTCACACCTTGTGAATGTCCAAGCCAGAATTACCTATTCCACTACAGGTATAATTTATCTTTCCCAAAGGCATGGGAGCAGGGTAAGGACCACCCCTTCCCCACTCCTGTGCCCCCAGTGGTCATGTGCTCACAAAGGCAGCATTTGATTGGGTCAGTTCACTGTGACTCCGAGAGAAAAACGAAAACACTTCTTTCATGTAAAATGGAAAGTCGCCTTTACTATCCAGCAGATGCCTGACTTCCTTTGCAAATAGGTCACTGAGAAGCGGGAGTGGCTGCCCCGCTCTCCCCACCAGTAAAAAGAAAAGAAACGGAGGGATGGCATGGAGAGAGAGATGCCCAATGCACCTCCCCAGGTTAAAAAAAAAGTATGTAATGGGTTTGGCAGGGCAGTCCTTTAGAAAACAGGCATCCATGCCTCTGGTCCTTGTCAGACTAAAAAGACGAATATATGTAATGAGAAATCCTGGAAGAAATTCCCAGAAGCAGGGCCAAGGGCTCCATGCTTAGGGTAGGAAGAAAAATACTTTCTACATGCAACTAAAAGGCGGCAGCAACAGTTCAAGCAGTGCAACCTTTAACACATTTCCTTTGAAGCAGGTCCCACTGAATTAAATGGGATTGCCTCTGAGACGGAAACCTAATTGGCACTTCTGTGGTCATCAAATTCTAATCATAAAGTAATCACTGACAATTTGCAGAATATTAAACCCCCTCCCACCCTAATTTGGAACTTAATGTGGGTTGTTGAACCTTGCCTGATGGAGGGAATATTTATGGAGAAAAGTGTTGTTGCCTGTTGTGGAAATCCTCATTTCTTTTGTCCTGCTGTCATCTCTAATGAAACATGTTTTGCTGGGAAGAACCATCTGAAACTGGATGTGCCATGCACCAAGAACTAAGATGGAGATGTGTGATTGTTTCTGTTACTACTTATTATTGAATTATTATTTGTTTACTACATTCCTATTCTGACTTTTTCTTGCAGGGAACCTAAATAGGGCTACCTCTCTTTTGTCCTCACAACAGCCCTGTGAATTAGATTAGTCTGGGAGTCAGTGACTGGCCCAGGTGACCCCTGAGCTTCATAGCTGCATGGGGACTAGAACTCAGATTCCCCAAATTCCTGCCCAAGGCTGTTAACCACTACACCACAACAGTTCTCCACCTATTCTTCAACCTGCTTTGGGTTGCTTGGAACAACATACATGAAGCTCCTGAGCAGTGCCTCATCCTAGCACCATCTAGAGATATTTTAAAAAGGAATAAAACCCATGATAAACAAAATAGATGCAATTTATTATACCTTTTAAAATTCAACTCACACTCCAAATTGCATAATATGGTATACACGTTTCTTTCTGTCTGAGATTTGCAATGTGTGAGTGAGGTAGGGGGGCATCGACTTGGTGCCTTGGTGAATTGGGCCCAGGATCACCCAGGCTGGAATAGTGATTGGAAGCCAGGTGTCATGACCTCCAGTACTCAGGGTTTTATGATTGTGTAGAAGAGGATTCTGATCAAGACAAAAAACAGGTTGCTTCCTTAAGTCAGAGCCTTATTTAGACCCTTCTCAGAACATGAATCCCTATCAGAACCTCCACCTTCCCAACTTTGTTCAACTTTGTTGAAGTCTGAGGTGACAAAAGAGAGTAGAGCTGACTGCTATACTGGGTGTCTGACAATATAAACCTTTGTTTCTCTGCTGAGACAGCATCTTTCTATTGCCATATCAAGGAGAGTTACAGCTAGAAGGACCCATCTGAAGCTATCCAAAGTCCACCTTCCTTCTTGCCTTAATCTGTCTTCCTACTTGAGTGTGCTACCAGCTTCCCCCATGAGCCTCAAGAGGCCACAGAACAGGACACCAGAGCTCCCCAGTCCTACTATGCCCTTAAGATATTTTGGACTACAACTTCCAACATACCTGAACATAGGCCCATCTGGCTGGGGCTGATGGGTTGATGCCCAAAACATCTATCACTAGAACTGGAAAAGACAAAAAAAAATTGTCACATTGCAGTGACAATTCCTCTTCTCTTTGAAAAGAGATGCTAGGGCTTGAAGCCTGGTGAGTTCTAGCACAAAGTAACCTCTATGGCACTTTAAAAACATCCATTTTTGGTTGTTTCCTCTCCAGATGCAAGAGAATGTACAGGATGTAAGGAAGATTACTGGTCCAATGAGCAGAGAAGTGCTTGTGTCCTTAAGGAGGTGGAATTTTTGGCTTATGGAGAAGCTTTAGGAATGACACTGATTGCTCTGTCTGCGTTTGGCTCCTGTGTCATCCTGGCTGTGACTGGAGTCTATATCAAGTTCAGAAGCACAGCTCTTGTGAAAGCCAATGACCGGGAGCTGAGTTTCCTCATTCAGTTTTCTCTCATCACAACCTTAATGACCTCTGTCCTCTTTATTGGTAAGCCAGAAGACTGGTCCTGCCAATCCCGTCAGGTGACCCTTGCCTTGGGTTTTTCTGTTTGTCTGGCTTGTGTCCTTGCAAAGACAGTGATGCTTTTCCTGACACAGCTGGCAAAAAATTCAAAGATTGCGGAGAAAGTTCGTATGGCCATGAGGCCAATTTTCCAAAAGATCATTGTACTCTTCTCTGTAATGGCCGAAGCAGGGATATGCTCCGCTTACCTCATCCTTGAACCTCCCCGTATGTACAAAAACACCCAGTTCACAGTGTTGAAGATCATTTTTGAATGCAACGAGGGTTCCATAATGTTCTTGTGTGTTATGTTCGGGTTTGATGTTTTTCTCGCCATCCTGTGCTTCCTTACTGCATTTGTAGCTCGGAAGCTTCCCAATAACTTTAATGAAGCCAAGTTTGTCACCTTTGGGATGCTGGTCTTCTTCATTGTCTGGATATCGTTCGTTCCTGCTTACTTAAGCACAAGAGGGAAATTCAAAGTGGCTGTGGAGATATTTGCTATTTTGGCCTCCAGCTTTGGCTTGTTAGGGTGCATATTTGTACCAAAGTGCTACATTATTTTATTGAAACCTCTAAGAAATACAGAAGAAATCGTGGGTGGCCGAGTAACCTTGAATGACAAGAGTGCACCACCAACCTCTGCCTCTTGCACCAGTGAAATTAACACAATCTCAACCACAGTCCTTGATGAGTAGAGACCTTCATAGCACACGCCTGGCACATTCCACTAGTTTGTTCACATCTTTTCCTCCTCCTTTCTGAGAGAAAGCAGATTACTGGTTCCTATCAACACCGCAGCTTCCGTTTCATGGGGAATAGCACAAATAACACACACCTAATTGCTTGCTGACAAAGTCGTGTATGCCACTTTTTGAGGAATTTGTATGGTCACAATGATCTCCACATGGCCCAGACCCAAGCCCACATGAGTGGAAAGGAACTTCCCCTAGCACAGCAGAGGGAGTCGTCTCTTCCCACCCCTCTTGGCTGCAGCCTCTTGTGCCACGGCAGCACTATCACAGGGCTTTTTCCAACCCTTCCGAATAGCCTTTTGGGGTGCGGATGCAGGGAGCAGCAGGAAGGAGAAGACAGGGAATCCCTGTTCCATGAGCAGAACTCTGCACATGGTTCATAGGATCTGGCCCTACAATTCCAGCTGTAATAGGGCAAGAGTTGGAAACAATACAACCAATGACATTTCCTTGTAAAATGTCAACATAGCATCAAGTCAATGCATGAGGGTGCCTGTAATATTTTCCAATAAATCCGATTATTTACAGCTGCTTCATGTTGTGTTTCATTTTAATGAAGTTCTTCAGTGGAAGTTCGTGTTTCAGCTGATATTGTATTTCTCATTCCTTGGACAAACTTCAAAGCTTCTGGAGCTATTGCTTTGTGAAAATATTTTATGAGCACTGGTCTAGTGGGTCATTTTAGACCTCAGACTTAATGGTCTTGCAGAAGCTTACTTGTTAGATGATAAAAGATATTACTTTTCTATTCCTGATGCTACAAGAGTAACAGGTCAGTTCTTAGTGATACATTGAAAATAAAACTAAATTATATTGTTTGTTTTATTTGTTTTATTGTAAAATGTCCCAAGATCATTTGGTAGTGGACGGTATACAAAAGTTTTAAATGAATAAATAATATAAAATGAACATCTGTTAGCATGGGATAAAAGCCAGTGTATAAGGTCTACTTGGAGTAGACCCATTGGAACGCAGAATTTAATCATGAGTCATTTAAGTTCTGTTCATTTCAATTGGTTTATTCTATTCATAGACTGGGAAAGCTGTCTGATTGGGTGGTATGGGAGCATGGTAGCTTTACAGGCCTAAATTGTGATTATGTGGGACTGAAGGAAAGATACCCTATACATCCTAAAAAGTTTCTACTTTTCTAATATTCTACTCTGCAACAATTCCTCCCCTTCCCATCTCCTCAAGCCAAACTCACATGTTTATTCTCTCTCTCTCGCTCTCTCTCTCTCTCTCTCTCTCTCTCTCTCTCTCTCTCTCTCTCTCTCACACACACACACACACACACACACACACACACACACACACACACACATTAGCCTTTAATTTGGGGTGTGTTAGAAGAGTAATTCATGTGAATAATGCATGCATGGCCAGCTCTTTCTTCTAGGATGGGTAAACTAGGATGGAGTTTACCAGTGTAGTGTACTGGGTTGACTGCACACCTGGACCTGTCCAACTTGGGTGGTGACCCAGCTACAAGGCAGACCAGGGTCCCTATGGGTGGGGTGAGAAGAGAGATCCCTTGCAACTGTAGCTGCTTACCATCCATGGAAGCAGAGAAATGAGTCCAGGGAATTTAAAGGTTCAGTCGCGTCAAAACTGAGGGAAGCTGCCTCACCGGGAAGCTGTGAAGGAAGCTGCCCAATCCTGCTGATACGTGTGTGTTGTACTTAGTAGTACTTCACATATGTTCAATGGGAGGTACTCACAAGGACTGTGTCATGTGTGCACACAGGGAAAAGGTGCCAGAACGCGTGCCACCAGTTTATAGCTTCAATGGGAATTTGAGTTCAGACAGTGAAGATGATGGGGTTCTGCAATGTCAGCAAACTATAGTATCAGATCAAGGTCAGAGAATGTATGAGGAACAAGGAGGATTAGTACAGGTGGGTGGAGGTGATGGCTAGCCAGACTGGGGGAACAGGGAGATAGCACAGCAAGAGGTAGGGTTGGGGAGTTGGCAGCCAAGGCTGACGAGAGCCCTGATCTGCCAATGGGAGAACAGGGGGAGACCTTGGGATCTGGCCAGGTATGCACCAGGAGTTGAGCAGTCTGTCAGATACAGAGGTCCCTCTCCCTAAGGAGGTGATGCCGGTTGCTAGGAGACAACACAGGTGGGAGATTCAGTTGATGGAGCAACGGGAGGAGCGATGGCAGGCGAGGTATCACAGTGCCCATCTCTGAGTAGGTGCAGGAAAAAGGGGTATAGGCAGGGTGAAGATTGAGATGTCTTAGAGGGGTTTCGACCCTTCACTCTGGGTGAACTCAGAGATGTGCAACAGTACAGATGTGTAACAATAAAGCCTTGTGAAAATGCATAATACCATACATACACAATGCAATGTATAATACATAATATGCATTATGCATTATATAATAGCTTTCTCAGTTCTAAGATTTTCCGCCTTGTAAAATATCACTGCTCTGTAGAGGAATAGCCTGGATGCTTCTAGATGGAGGGGTTCTTACATTAACGGAAGACGACTTTGAGCTTTTCTATGCAAGGGCATGATTATGTACTTGTGATTTCTTACTCACAGTTGTTTACAGGTTCTTGGTGCATATTTTGTACTTTGACCCAAGCCTCCAAATGGTCAGGAATACACAACTGCACGCTCCCCAACTTTTTCTAGGAAAAGCTTCCTTTGAAAGGGGGTTCTGACTGGGCTTTATTTATTTACTTGTTTGTTTGTTTCAGGACTGGGACATATACAACCAAATGTTGCAAGGAAAACTGACCCAATTCCCTGCCAAAAAAACCCCTTTAAAATGAGAATTTTTAGAGCCAGCTGTCATTTCTGTCAAATTCATTTTCCCTAGGATGAGGAGTAAATGGAGAGAGGAGATAAGAGTCTTGCATGGAATGTAAATGCCAGAACACCTTTATTCAGGTGCAGAGATTCCTCCCACCTTTAGTTTCTCTTGGCTGCTCATCTTCTGACCACCGTCAAGAGTAACACAAGGAGAAGAAAATCCATTTGGAGCACCAGGACAATAGCCAGAGTTGGTACCTGTAACATCTTGGAAGCAGGTGTTCTGGTCATTGCTTCAAATCCTTGCACTCTTGCAACTGCAAAGGTTCACAATTGTGCAAATGTGCCTGATTTTTAAAAAATGCATTTTTGTGTGTGCAAAGAGTTTGGCAACTACAGGAAGTCCCTCCAAGGTCTGGGGATCAAAAACAGGGATCAAGAGATCAGACGTTTAATGAAAATAAAATTTGTAAGGAGCCTGAAATGGCTTGCCACTGCTGAAAGGAGGGGAGAAATTTGTTCCTCCCACTGTGTCCTGTGAGATACTGCAGAAGGGCTGAGGGGGGAAGAAGCGGGGGAGCAACAACTCCTGGTGAGCCTGATTGCCTGTTGAGTCATCCTGGACACACAACCCACCCACCTTGATTTATCACCCGGGTAGGTCAGCATGACATGCAAATGTACCCACTAACTCTGGGGGAAGGGGTACTTGAAACTACGTGCCACCATATTCCACTTTCCCGAGTGCAGGGGAAAGGCTGTAGCATCAAACACAAGCAAGTAAAATAGTGTCACCTACAGAATACAAAGATCCCCTGCAGGTGTAAACCTTGAATTGTTGGTGCACAATCTTTTGCTTTGGTATTACTTTTTTAAAATCACAATTTAAATATTTTGCAAGTTTCCCCTTCTGTACTTCCATTAATTCCACTAATAAATCATCAAATGCTTAACAAAGCAATAAACAGGTTTGCTTTTAGAGCAGGTGGGAAAAGAAGCCTTTTTGTTTGCAAGTGCATCATCAAAGCAAGCTGTTAGGTCAGGTTAAAACAGTTGGAGTGCTTATGGATGAGCATCTATTTTGGCCTAGTGCCACAAGCATACACAAGGGAAATTTGCTGACAGTACAGAATAACCCCAAGAGGCACTCTCCTGTTTCTTGACCTCAGATGCACCCAACAATTTGTTCTTGATTTCAGTAGAACCCTGACAAATTCAGCCAAGCAAAGCCAGCACTAAGCTCTAGTATAGTGTTTCATGATAAGTCAGGTTTCAAGCTACATGCACCACCTCTGGGTGCTGTCGCCATGCCCACCCCACACAGAGGCTTTCCCCCCTAAAGAAGTTTGCGTACATCCTCAAACTGTAGGGTTCCTCCAAGTCCGAGGCTAACTCCCTCTTGTGAAATCTGTGGATGGTGCACTTTAGTTCCATAAGGATTGCAACTAGGCCAGCCCTCCATGACCCACTGTGAGAGAGCTGCCTCAGGCACCAGACACGGGGGGTGGCAGCGACAGTTGGCAGAGCGACCTGCAGCCTGCCCAGCATTTAGGGCTGAGCAAAGACTGAATGGCCAATCCAGTTGTCTTTTCTTTATGGAGTCCATCTTGTTCTTCCCCTCAGGTAGCCATTTGTTTCAAGCCAGCCCAGCAACTCTGCCAGCTTTTTGCTAGCCTCTCTGCAAGAGAAGGTTAAGTTCTGGAGTGTTAAACTCCTCTTAAGCACCAATGGTGCTGTGTTGACCACCTATGGATTGGCACTACAACTCCCATCAGCCCTAGGCAGCAGGTCCAATTGTGAAGGGTCATGGGAGTTGCAGGCCAAAACATCTGGGAGGCAACAAGTTGGTTGGATTATTCAATTGCTTTAGTGCAGAGATATACAAAGTTATCCTCTTGCAGAGGCGGTGCAAGTCTGCACAGGTCACTGCCACACACCTGCTCCTTTCTGGTCAAAAGACACGCAATTCCTTGTCAGCACGAACCGCCCCAGGGAATAACGCTCCCAAACCAGGTGCTACAGCACGTTTGCAGGGAGCCAGCGCTGGGGTCAGCACGGATGGAAGCCTCAGACCTTCCTGCAGGGAAATCAATCCCCACAGCAATCTTTCAAGGGAAACCTATTAACTTCTTTTCACTTGGGCAATGCAGGTCGCAGCTGACCACCCTCCGTTAGCCCCGTGGTAACGGCACGGGCCATTTTGCAGGAGACCCTTTGCTGGCATTGCATCTTATTAGTGCATGCAGTCTTTCCTCCCCCGGTTTTGTTGCATCAAGGCAGTCCCTCGTTTCTTTCCCTCCTCAAACCATCTGTATTGCGGCTGATTGCATCGCTCTTTCCGTAAAGCATGGGGGTTCCGCTGGGAACACCAGCACAACACGCGTAAATTGCAGTAATAATCAATCGAACAACTTTAATGAGCTTACTCTAGTTCTCTAATTCCACGGGCCACCAGGAGATTTATCTAGTAGTGCTGCTGTTTGTTACACGGGGCAATGTTCAGCCAAGGATCCATGTGGATATTGCCGTGACAGCTAATGGCTTTTCTTCTTGCAGAGTGACTGACTGTTATTATAAACTGCAGGCAGTGTCCTAGAAAAGGCTTCGATTGAAACAGGGATGTCAAGCAGAGGAGGCCTGGCTGCAAGTTTAATGAGGGCTTGTGATCTTCAGGATTTTAGGCTACTCTTTAATTTAGACTGGTGGAAAAGAAAGATGAAGGC